CTCGGACAAGGTTCCCGACCAGAGCGCTAGCTTTCAAATGTCCATGCTTCGCACTGGTTGCAGTCCAAAGGAATAGATAAAACCGGAACAAGGAAAATCACAGGTAGTAGTTTGCTAGTTGCTGTTACGGCCCAGTACAGTGGCAGGTCACATGATCCCGCGCCTAAACGCGACTGCCTTACGCCCCAGAGCGACTGCCTCCCACACCTAGGGCGACTACCTGCGCAGATGGGGTCCGAAGAGTTATTCCGTGCCGAACGGCAGCGAACAAAAGCACTGCTAGCCTATGTGCCTATAGTCTCCTCATCTTAGTGTAGCTGAAATAGAGCCAACTTACCTCATCTACTCTTTCGATGCAGGAGCCCGCGCTCGTCCTCACAGTTGCTAGTCCTCAGCTTTATAGGTTGTTAAAATCTTAATAAAATGCTAACTAGAGTACTACTACTACTACTACTACTATTCTTTAGATAATATTAAAGGATAGTTAGTATAAATAAAAGAAAGTAAGAGTTAAAAAGACTAAATAGAAAATTTATAAAATAAAGAAGCTATTTATAACCTTAACCCACTTATTAGTCCTTTTCAATAATATTATACTTTCTCTACTAAACTACGTACTAAAATACTATAGTTATAGCGTTTAGGACGATAATCCAGGACCAGCACGCACCGTAGGGTTTATCTAAAGAATGTCGTCAATGTATGTGTGCAACTTCAGTGATCCTTCCTTCATTTGCTGAATGATATACTGGACCGCGATTCGCTGCGCGAGTGAGTCTGTCTTAGTATACCAACATTCGAAGTTCAAGCTGTATAACAACAAGGGAACGCCAGATATTCCTCATTTATGTTTTAGGACATCAGCATCATTGACATGAAACGTCCTTTTCTCCCTGGTCTTCTGTCGCTTTCCTAGCTTTTCGCTAGAAACTACGTGAGAGACAGGTAGAACGCGAACTATCCTTAGGAGCAAAGATATTCGAAGACGCGTATCATTTATTGGAATCGAGCTAGTAATACAGACCTGCAGATGTTGACACCCTGATTCAAGAGCACACGCCGAGAATCCCTTAGAGGATCAGTTTACAGCCGTCCAGCCCGCTCTAAGTAAGTGCATTCTCTGGTCTCTCACACAGACTAAAATGCATGGTTCTCCTTTCAGTGTCCTTGTGACGGATACCTATGGTAGGTGCCGGGATGGAGATAAAACGGACTGATTGGAAACGTTCCCAAAGCACTGCGCTGCGAAGCCATTTGCTTCCTCTAGAATTAGAGCGTAGAAAGGAAAACAAATAATTCAAGGTCTGCCGCATGGACGAGTGATGACTGATGGTTTCTTTATCGTTGAGCTACCAGTATGACTACGTAATGGTAGCGCCCCACCAATGGCAACCATTTCTAAGCGAGATACTGCGCTATATGTGCCCCCACTTTAAGATACACATTCCTTCCTTATTTTGCGTGCCACACAGTTTCGAAGGTCTCCTTTCCTTCCGCCTCTTCATATTAATGAGAATATATATTTCATATCTCCGAAACTTTCTATCCAATCAGATAACATCCGATATGGTCTAACGGCTAGGATATTCCGCTTTCATAGAGTCCGTTCTGAAGGCGCCGGAAAGGCCCGGGTTCGACTCCCGGTATCGGAACTTTTCTTTTTGCCGTTGTACAGTCTTTACACTGCATGGGGAGGACTTTGGGTTGACCTCCTATGTTTTTTTTAAACTGCTGTACTAAAGAAAACGAAGGATGAGCATAAAAACACGTAAGACTGAAATCCTATGGATTACGTTCCACCTCTAAGGACTGTGAGGGGAACATTCGCGCCCCTTTCGATGAATAAGCAGACAGCACTGATAGGTGCGCTGACAGTACGTTTTGTTGGGACGTCCCCTATGGGGAAGTCAAAGCACGCTGAGGAAATCATGGTACCCAATGTGGCACAGTCTCAATTGCCTTGGGTGCGCCATGGTTCGTCGGTGACTAGGACCCACGCACTGAGGAGAAGGGTGACACGGTGGGGAGTCTCCGATGAACGCCCGTGCCAACCACACTACCAAGACATCACGAGGAAGAGTATCTTTCTCCCAGTCATTTACACGATGAAAGCTTTTTGTTGTGTCGCCGCTGTGGCCTCCCCGTCCGCAAAACGGTAGTAGAATCACAGAAGGCTCGGCGTCAATTAAGCTTCGTTCGCATTCTTCCATACAACACCATCCACGGAATCATGCCCAACGTATCCGTTTTCGCTCATCATGGATCGAGTCATTCAGGTAGACGGCTACCTCCCATAGCTGCGCAGTACTGAACCGTAAACAATATCTTAGGCAACCATCTCGTCTCTTCAAAAACACTACCAATACGATCCGGAGGTCAGCTTCCGTGACACGCGTGCTCAAGTCTTCGCACCTACAACAACGAAGATTTCACCAGAGGAGCCACCATGAGAATCTCCGCGCCTGCAGACCTGGAGTCTGGCTCCAGCGCCTCCACGATCCTATCCGCATGCTCACCACCTGCACCTCTGCGACAGGCAACGCCAAAGCCACATATCCACAATGCGCATGTACGAAAACCAAGAAGGGTTTTTATTAGAAGGAATAGGAGTGCGGACACAGCGGTGAAGGTGCCAGCCCCACGACCAGAGTCCCCTCCACGTGCATCGTCACTGCCGCGCCCTACCTTAGGTATCCCGAAAACCAGCGTGCAGCGCCGCGCGCCGCGGACTCCTTGTGGGCTGCTGCCACGAAGGAAAGACTCGGGCGTTAAGCAGCCTTCTCCGGGAGAGGAATGGCGTCGCGCGCTCCCGCGCCTGTACGAAATTCCAAAGATCAATATTATCCCTGCGACGCCAGAGGAGCCTCCGCTACCAACATGGCGGAAGCCCCCACGAACACAACCGCTCCTTACGAGTCCCGCTCCACGCGAAAGAGATCCATCAGGGTTTTCCCGAAAGCCCGCCCGAACCTCTCGCACCAAAAGAAAACCGCCTCTAGGGGACGGTCAACCGGGCCCAATCTTCCATCCCTTCCTTCCGACTCACCTTTCCCGCACCTGTAAACTCTCACTGGCGAAGACTGCCGAGCATCCTATCGATCTGCGCGAGTGCTGGCGGTGTCCTGAAGCCGAACTGTCCGCGCTGATGCTTCGGCGAGGGCGGGGCCCCGGGTAGCCCAACCAGACGCGTGGCCAGAATTCTGCCGCTGGGAGGAAACATGGTGGTGGCGATAACACCCAGAGTGTGCATAACGAAGAGCGTTCGAGTGAGAGGCCAGAGGCGGACGAAGAGACGGAGCGCACGCCGCTACTCGCATCATCTCCGGAGGCTTCGGTGTCGGGAACAGAGGATGAACCGCACTTCGAAGCCGCTCCACGAAGGACCATCTTCCAACGTGTCATATCATTCTTCCTTAAGCCCTTTGTTACCATATACACACACATTGTCACCACAGTCAAGGAATATATGCACGATAAGAAGGTGCAGTCGGGCGAGCTAGGAAGCTACGACACCGAGACTGCGCACTGGCTCAGGCGGAGCAGCGACGTTGAGAATTGGTGCGTAGTTGGAAGACGGGCGTGGGAGTATGGAATGTTTGCTTCAAGTCCTCCCGCGGTCCCTTCACAGAGAGGATCGAGTATTGAGGAGAGGAGCATGAGTCGGGAGAGTGTGGAAGGGGAGGTGAGAAACGTGACGTGCTAGCATTTAGGCTTCTCGACGGATGTTGATTGTTTGATTGTTCTTCCCATAATGGGTCTTGTGCGCTGAATGGTTACTGGGATATTGCATTAATCCTTCTTGTTACTTTCTGTGGGGACTGCACACGCATGGTTTGGAGTACGCGAATTGTTTGGCTTGTTTTTACGCAGCAGAGCATGCACATTTCATCCTTCAATGGACACCCTGGATTGGGTTCCTTTCTTCTTGTTCTTTGGGAGGTCCACTCACGGGCATCCTTGCATCTCGGTTTGGACGCGCTCGGGCTTGAACAATCTTTCTCGACGATATTGCGTATCTAGTTGCGTCGAGTGTATTGCTATAATATACGAGACAGCGTTTCAACATGAGCAGTTAACTCAGCTACGGGTTGCTAGTTTTATCGTTCGCAGAGTAGGGAGATTTCTTGAGAAAGGGGATACCCTAGACACCTATCCATACAATTAGCATGTAGCGTTCTAGCTAAGTAAACGGACGTAACGTAAGAATGAAAGCTATTTAATACTGTAATTAGAATTCGGGACAATAGCCTCAATGTCATCCAGGATATCATACCAAGACCAAAAGGAGGGAGCGTTTTCAAAGAGACGCAAGTATTAACCGATCCTTCTGCCGTAAGACTCTAAGCGAAGTTTTTGCACCTTAGTGAGTAGTCATTCCCACGCTGCATTTCAAGCGTGATAAAAAGTTACTTCTTTCCAGCAGTTGCCATGGTTAAGCGGCATAAATTGTTGCGGTTTTTAATACATGTGCATGCTGCATGTACCCCGCAGCGCATACACTCATCCAGCCCTATATGCAAGCAAGAATACTCTATGCTAAACGAGACTTTTTTGATATCCTGTCAAAGCCAGGGTGTAGAAGGGGTATATTAATCGCACTTTTCTAGCGAGCCTTGCTACAGAATGTGCGGGCTTCCAACCTCACGTATTAGGGTTCGTCGGATTCAGAAAAATTAAGCCCTAACAGACGATTTAACTTTGCTCCCTGCCTTATCACTGAAGGATAAGAAGGATACGGAGGTGGCGGGTTACTTAAAAAGGTGTCAGAGGGATAGAAAAAACAGTAGTGCCACCCTCGCGTAGCCACCAATGCCCCACGTGCGGCCCACAAATTTTTTTCGCCCCCCACCCCACGTAAGCGGATTTGTAAGATACTGTGCCCTTCCCCACTTATGATTTGAATCTATGTATATAATTATTTTCTTCCAACAAATTTCCAACAAATCAAGGTGTAAGTTGACCCAGCCGCCTAGGCTTCGTACTAGTGACTAACATACGTATAGGAGATGGCCGAGTGGTTATGGCGTGTGACTCAAGCGTAAGCTTCAACCTAAACAGGTTGCGCATTCTCATGGGCTTTGCCCGCGGGGGTTCGAATCCCCCTCTCATCATGTTTACTTTTTTTGCTTTCTTTTTGACATTTGAGGTCTGGCGAAGTTTTGGAGGGTGTAGGGGACTGTTACGTGAAGTTTTAGGTATTCTGGCATCCTAGCGCTTTTTGCAGCACTTGTCGCACATTATACATTAGATAGGAAGGTAATCTTGGTTAGAATCGTTTTGTTTTGGCCCCTTGGTCAGGTAACCCGCAGAAACACCTCGATTTATTTCGGGTGACCACGTTCGTGTCCTTCCTGACACTCTATAGTATATCGCATCCGGTATCCTGCCTCTACCATGCGTTCTTTTTAAAGCAGTTCGCGCATGCATACATCTTAATTTCTCTAGGATTAGCATCTCAACCTCACCATCCCGCCCAAGTCCACTCTCACACCTGACACCTCACACCTCAAACCCTTATAACGCATCACTCCATCTCCACCCACTCAAGAATGAATACGCACCCCACAATCTCGACAAATTTCTTCAAACGTGTATGGTCCTCTATCGCAACCGCATCATTTCGACTCATCCGCCCCACACTTAAATCCTCCCTCCAAAACCCCAGATGAAAGCTATATCTCCCTCCTCCCACTTAGCCAATCCTCCCTACATTTCCCCGAAAACCACAGATACTCTGCGACATGGGCGGTTCCCACGCCCTCGTAATCGGCGCCTCGGGCGTAATCGGCTGGGCCGTCGTCGACCAGCTGCTCCGTGGGTACCCTACACCCGGCACATTCGCGCAGGTCAGCGCGCTCGTGAACCGTCCGCTCTCCCTCGAGGACGCTTTCTGGCCGCGCAGCGAAGGAGAAAGTGGTGTTGAATTGGAGTTGACGTCGGGACCGGATCTGCTAGGGACAGAGGCGGAGATTGAGCGCGTGCTGAGAGAGAAAGTAGGTGGTGTGGAGAGCGTGAGGGAGGTGTTTTATTTTGGTGCGAGTTATCCCCTTCTTCTGCCTATTTTCATCATTTCCTTGTACAAGGGAGAGGCGGGATGGAGGTGCTAACGCGGCCTACACAGCGTTCAAAGAAGTGCGCAACGACCACATCGAAGAAGTGAAGGTGAATGTGGGCATGCTGCGCCGCCTCGTGCGCAGCATAGCCCGTCTCTCGCCTACGTTCCGCGCAGAGGGCTTTCTCGTTTATCCTGGCGGTACCCGCGGATATGGGATTTACAGGCCCGACGGCGTCTTCACGGCGCCCCTGCGCGAGGAGATGGCAGAGTGCTTGCCAGAAGACTACGCGCGAACAGTCGCGTACCCGCACTACCGCGCGATCCTCACCGCCGAGAGCACCCACCAGGGCTGGTCTTGGTGCGAACTCTGTCCCGACGTCGTGGTCGGGTTCACTCCGAACGGCAGCGGCTTCTCGCTCGGCGGGCACTGGGCGGTCTATCTCTACGCGTACGCGTTGGTCCATGGCAAAGGTGCAGAAGTGCCGTTCCCAGGCACCCTAGCCGGATACGACGCGCAGTACACCGAGACGAGCACGGCGGTGCTGGCGCGGGTGGGTATCCACGCTGCGCTGCACGCTTCCACGTTCCGCGAGCGCATCTTCAACGTTGCGGACTCGGGGGTGCCGGGACGCATGCGCGAGCGCTGGCCCGAGATTGCGGCGTGGTTTGGACTACGGGGTGTGACGCCGAGGGAGGGCGCGAGTGCGGAGGATGTGAAGCCCAGCGAGTTTGTGAAAGCGCGTGAGGAGCTGTTGAGGGAAAAGGGCGCGAAGGGGGTGCAGATTTGGAATGCGGGTCAGCTGGATAGCTATGGGTATTGGTTGACTTTTGATCGGCAGCTTAGTCTGGAGCGGTTGCGGGAGGCGGGGTTCGAGGAGGAGAGGCCGCCGAGGGAAGGGTGGGAGGAGGCTTTTGAGATGTTTAGGAGGGCTGGCATGATTGGGAAGTAATATGCTCGCTTGTGGCTAGGAACTGAACCCGTGAGAGATTAGGTGAGCCTTGTAAGTCGACGATCGAAGGCAAGAGGGGATGCGACGAACAGATTGTGCCGAACGTAACAGACAGGAATCAGTCTCTGTGGAAAATGCCCATGTGGACATCAAATTCGGCAAATAGCTAATTAACGTGACACTAAAACTACCAGAATCTGGTTCGTGCAGTTCAGGCGGAGCATTAGAAATCCACTAATTCACAAGAGCTGTCACGTGAAGAAGATTTGACCTCGGGACGTGTCCACCATGCCGTGACATTTATCCCTAGGGAGATTGCAGTCGCCGCGCAAGCCGTAGGAGTATAGGCCCATTTGGTCGGGTTAATCAGAGACATCCTCTATGGCTTTGGGAGTTAGCCTCTGATATTCGAGAGTGGCCACGCTCGTAGGGCATCGGATACCTCCAGGTACGTCGTGGATCCGGGTTTTCCAAACGAATGTCTCCCTGACATAGGTCCTTTCAAATATTAAGGACGGAGACGGACATTCTGCTGGAACCCACATGGGCACTCCCACTGTTTGTTGCTCGAGTAGCAGGTGTATCGATCACGCATCGGGTTCCCCTGTCACACCGATAAATCCACTATGCTGTAGATTCGGCATCGTTGTTCCGGCAGATGAGGCTCGTAAAGATTACGCAAGGTCTGTGTTGATGTTGGGACATCTCCAAGCGTCTGCGTGTCCAAACAAGTCGGAGTATTGGCGAAGTAGGAGCAATGGAGATCGATGGAAACAAAGAGGGAGAATTCCCTGTCAACTGATATTTGCAGCTTTACGCTTCCCACTTGCAGAGGTGCCGTCTGCGCCATCAGGTTGCTGGATTTCTTCGGGGGCTTTACTGTCGTTGTTCTGCTTTGCTTTCGGCTTGAGCCACCCATCCAGCTTGTTCTTTTGACGCCCAGCTCTTCCCATCTTGCTCATTGCTTCGACCTTCTTCTTCGTCGGTGCGGGCTCTTGTATCTTCGTGTACGTTCCGCCGCACTCGGCCTCATGTCTTGCCCACCAAGAATCGGATTTCCCTGGGGGTCGATTCATACTGCGCTTTACAAGGCCAAAGTATGGCGGCTGATCCTTGCACCGTCCATTGCATTGCCAGACATGAGTTCTGTAGCTGTCCTGCAGAGTCATGGTGTGGTAAGTATCCACTTCGCGGAGCAAAAGAAACGTCAAGAGCACTCACCACCTCATCGTGAAACGTGTGGAAGATGGTCACCTCGTACTTCCCATGGGAGTTGATCGCATCCGCCAACAACTGAAAGCCTTCGCCATGGCCAGTCCCATTATCCCCACGCGAGTGCCGCCACGACGTCGTAATGAAGAAGTACGCAGTATAGCTTCATGGAGCAGCGTGTTGATAGTATCGGACCTCGGTCGGTACTGCAGTAGGGGCGTGCTCATTTTGAGGCGGATCCTCGTAAATTTCCCGGTCGCTGGGTCCTTGGAGAGCTCGCATATCCCGACGCATCTACGGTAATGCAGGTCAGGAAGGTGGTCAGAAAACACCAAAAATTGCACGTCACGCATGGAAGGAGTAAGCTGCAGGAGGCACTGCCGGGCGCAGGTCTGCGACGGGAGCCTACAGTGTCAAACGTGGCGACCAAAGAACCTCGACACGGGGAAGGAGGAGCTTGCGGAAATACAGCACGTTGTAATGGCCGAACAGCACGTGCACGTCAACGAACGGTTCGCCATCATTCAAAATTGCGTTGATTGCGTCCAGGGCCTGCTGCTGCTCCGGCGAGAGGTTCTCAAGGGTCCCAATGGCCTGGAGGGCAGCGTCCTCGTCAGTAACGGGCATGTCGCATTAGTTGTAGCGTCATCCAGGGGTGTTTCGAGCCGCAGTCTCGGGGATTGTCTTGCTGCTAGCGGATCGGGGCGAGTGAATGGCGGCTCCCGGGCAGACAAGGTGGGGTCTCGCAGCCCTACGATGTTGCAGGAGGCGAGGCGTAGTTTGATGGGCTGCAACGCTCCCACGTTGTTTCGAAGCCAGCAACAAAAACCCTTGGCCTCCCTTGCGAACGTTATTGCCCGACCCTCGCCCGCCGGTTTATTTACCCACTTACCAATCTGTTCCTGCATAATTCTGCGCGTGGAACGACTCGGAAGCGCGACGAAGCGTAGCTGTGTACAGTTTGCGATCATTGCCCACCTACCCATGACGCATACAGCTCCGCATGCACAACAATTCACTCATACACAATTGCACCGCGCCGCGCCACCATAACAACACCACGACGAGCTGCACGCGTGCAGTAGCCATCGTCCATCACCACCACCACCACCACCCTCGAATGCGCGTCCCGGCCCGCCAATCTGACAGAGATGGCGGCGTCCGACACCCTCGGCACAGTTGATCTCGTGCGCACATGCTCACAGAACTCGCACGCCTCCAACGGCAGGAGGGCCGGCACGGTGCGCGTCAGGCCTCTCAAGCGCGCGTCCAATACGTCCTTGGGGCGCACACCCTCGCCCGCCGCCGACGACAAGAGCCTGACCTCGTTCCCCTCGCTCTCCCCCACGCCCGACTCGTCGCCCGTGCAGTCGCGTGTCAATGGCTGGTTCCGCACTGCCGTCGGTGCGGCCGAGCCTGGCGACAACCAGGCAGAGAACATACCCAGGAGCACCCCAGACACGGTCAAAGCTGCCTCCCCGCCACCAGAAGCCAACAAACCCTCCAGCCCGGCGGCGACGGTGAGGAAGGTCACCAAGTCCACACAAGAGATTGTAGGGAGCCTAGTAGCAACTTCAGGCTCGAGGCGGGGGCGTACTGCGCTGTTCGATGACAACCCCCCGGAAGCCTCCAAGATACCCGGCAACGTCCACTATGCGAGCGACCAGAACATCCAGGACATGATCGATCAGCAGGGCGCCGTCGCCTTGGTCAGACAGATGGCTGGCGACCTAGCACAGAGAGACGCGCAGATCACTGCTTTGCGACGGAGAGCCGAGGAGCGCGAGAGGATCCTCCGGAAGATGCTGCAGGAGTGCGAGGTCTCGAACATGGACATTGAAAATAGGCTGCGAGAGCTGGAGAAGAGCCGGGCGCGGGAGGACAGTGGCAATGG